CATGAGAGTTGTGAACTGTTGTGAGTTCTTATAGATATGTGTCTAATTTAAGTAGTCAAGGTAGTGTACGTGTGTGTGATTACTGTAGTAGCATGTCTTGATAGAAAGAATTATCAGTATAAAAAATAGTTAACGGTCATTTAAATTGTTGTAACGTAAGCTAGACCAAAATTCTAGTAGTCCTATGACATGTATGTGAAAAATAAACAAGCTATTACAACTAGACGATCTACAATATTAAACTAGAATTACATCAATATAGCAACAAAAACTAATATATAAATTTTTTAAATAATAATCTGTATAAATATTTTACCACTAATACTTAAAAATCATATGGAGTTGTGTAGTTTAACAGGTAAATGTATGTGATTTTACAATATGTTTGGTATTTTGTATGAGTAAAAAGATTTACACTGCATAAGTCACGTGACTGTTATGTTACGAAAAGTATCGAAAGTGGAGTAGAATTATTCGTTTTATAAAAAGGTAGCCTTTAGTTAATTAACAAACTGTATGTATAGCACATGGCCTGTTTTTAGTTTAATAATATTCATAGTGACTTGTGTCTTAAGTCTTTCAGTATGAGTTTTTTGTATTAAAATAATATTAGTTGTTAGAAACTTTTTATTGAAATTAAGTTATGTAATATCTAGTAATAGTGTGAAATTATTGTATTTTATATTTTATTAACTTAACTCCTTATTAGCATTTTCCTAATATTTTAACAGTGTGAAAACAACACAATAACATGTATTTATATGCAAGTATACTAATTAAGTGTTAATATTTATCTTATATGAAGGGATGTGTATGGGTGTATATGATAGAGCTTGAGTAGAATTATTCGTTTTAAAAGTATGTATCAGATGATGTATGCGACAGAGCTGTAGTTGAATTATTCATTTTTTAAGTAGCTATCAGATGATGTATGTAGCATAGCTGGAGTAGAATTATTTGTTTTTTAAGTAGACATCTGATGATGTATGTAACAGAACTTGAGTAGAATTATACATTTTTTAAGTAATTATCAGATGATGTATGTAACAGAGCTGGAATAGAGTTATTCGTTTTTTAAGTAGTTATCAGATGTTAAGGATATTATTATAATAACCCTGACAGGGGTGTAAGAGTAATTTATATATAATAATCAAAATTTTAGAGCATGTATAGTGACAGTAGAAGTCAGAAGTATATGCCTTATCAATAATTTTCCAAAAAAAAAACAGACCCTGGTCAGTTGATAACTGAATTTGACTATAGTCTTCTGTATAGCCTTGTGCACTTTAAGGGTAAGCAGAGAAATTTTAATAAATAAACTCCCACCCCATCTATCTTGTCGCTAGTATAAAGAGCTGACATCACAAGGAAATTGAATGAACTTGTGGATGCTTGTAAAACATGTTTGGAGAGAAAATCTACTATGGATTTTCTTATGCTGTTTGATCTCATTGACAAAAATACAAAAGAAGAGCAAAGAACAGATTTTTTGTGTGGAACAATTTTCAAAACCTTTCAAAATTAAAATGTTTCAATCGTTATTTTGAAAGCTTGTAACAATTATAAACAGAACCAACCCTTAGGAAAATTGAGGTCAGCAATAATTTGCCGACCTCAATCTTTTAGAGGTCGGCATCAGGTAGGCAAATACATAAAACAAACACATTAAGGTCTTATGAAACGAGGTCGGCAAAACCGAATTTTTTTTTGCCCACCGCAAACACGTTTAGGTCGGCAGTTAGGTCAGCATTGCCGAATGCCGATCCTAATTCCGAGGGTTGCAGAACCAAGTAAATTTATTTACCTATCAAAATCTACAAAGAAGTGTACTTACAACAGTAACAAACGCATGCTAATGCACATACACCTCACATCCTGAATAAACAATTTACTTTTCTCTTTTTAAATTTATGTTGCTTTTCTTCTATAACTATTCCCTTATATCATACTATTCTTATTATTAATTAGTTACTGTAAATGACACAAAATCAGCTATGCTATACATACAGTTTGTTTAATTGACTAGAGGCTACCTGCTAACTGTTTTAAAAACGAATAATTCTACTCAACTTTAAATACTCCTCAACTTTAAATACTCCTGACTTCATTACAGTCACGTGACATCCACAGTTAATCTTGTCACTTATACGAAATACAAAACACACTCTTGCACCACATACATTTACCTGTTAGGCTTCGAAATTTCCATAAAATTTTAGATTATTAGTTGTTAAATATATATACAGATTATTAGTTGCAAAACACATATACAAGTCAGTGTTGCTGTATTAGTATAGCTCTATTTAACACTTCTAGTTTATCGAGTTGTAATAGTTTGTTATATATTTATAAGGATACACGTTTATTGGTCTCCTAGTACTCACATAAAGCTTACGTTACACCGATTTAAATGACTTTCGACAATTTTTATACTGACAACTCTTACTATTGAGACATGCTACTCACACACAAGTACACCACATTGACTATTTACATTACACACACAGTTATAAGAACTCTAAACAGTTCACAACTCTCATGGACCCAACTTATACTGTGAAGACCTCCGAAAAAGCTGGAGGTCTTCATGTGACACACTTATATCTATAATGTATGTTTATCACCCTAATAATTCAGACTAAATGATAACTACTTATAAAACAAATAATTCTATTCCATAACCAACTCTATCTATGCATCACATTTACGCTAGACTCTAACAACAATTTAGTAGCACAACAACTAATGACTTTCCTTGACTATTGTTAATTATTCTTATTTATTTTTTACTACATTTTACTTATATCAGTTTTTAGTATTTTTTTATTTCGAGGCTCTTTGTTTTCCATTGGACATCTGTCCTTTTGTACTTTTATCTCACTCTGCTAAACTCTTTTTAACTTATAATTCATCTTTAAGGTGTTCACTGCTCGGTACAGCTTCACTAAAATGCATTGCATTTAATTATGTTATGGGTTTTGAATATGAATCAATGTGACTATCAACTCATGTTGTATGTCTTTGGTACATAATACATGTGTAATATTATCTATGCAAATGTCACTATTGACATTTCCATGTAGATATACCAAAAACCCCAATAAGGGTTAGGCATCAAGAGAACAAACTAAGATCAAAACGCCTCATCCGATCATAAAATACTGGTGTTTTACAAACTTGAGCCCGTGCTCTATTTTAGCAAGGTAGTGCCCACAGGGTGTCGACCATAGGTCAGGCACCAGACCTTTGAAACTCCTTAACTAATGGTCCTTTTTGAGAATGTCATCTTGACACTACATGGATAATTGGAGATTAAAACCCCTATATTTTAATCATCTGCCTTTCAATGCACTTATGCTTATTATTCTAATATTTACACTGGTATTTCTAGAAGTTATATTTGTTGATTTATGCCTAAAGGGTTATACTTTATCCAGATTGGGTCATTAAAACATTACTCTAACACCTATTCAACACAAAAAATGTGTGAAATAGCTATTGTAATGTATATAATACATATAAATGATTTAGGGATGCTTTGGAATAAATATATAATCATAAGGATATATATATATATATATATATATATATATATATATATATATATATATATATATATATATATATATATATATTAAAAGAATATTAGATGTGGCACCTTTATTGTACTTGACAGTAGTTGTATATTAAATATTATGTATAACTCTAGTAGTATTATATTGAAGCATATATGCAAATTCATATACAAATAGATTGAAGAAAATACAAATACATATATACAAATACAAATACATTGAAGCATATATACTAATACATATACACACACTGATAAACATGGTTATGTGTACTAATACAAACACATATGAGTATGTATGTACTCAAACATGTGTATGCTCACAAAGCACACCTTTAAAGATCGCTGGTATAAGCATAAGAATTCCTTTCAATACGAAAGTAAAGCTAACGCCACAGAACTTTCTAAATATATCTGGGAAATGAAAAAAAAGGGATTTTCAAATCCTATTCTTACGTGGAAAATTATTGATAAGGCAGAACCTTTTAAACCCGGAAGAAAGTTATGTAACCTTTGTTTAACGGAAAAATACCATATCATTACATCATCTTTGAAACTATTAAATAAGCGAAATGAATAAATATCGAAATTTCGCCACGAAAACAAATTTGTTATCTGCAACTTTAACGTCATCTAAGCAAACACTGTATTGTATTTTTGTATATAATTTTTGTTGTTGTTATGGTTTATAACGCCTGATGATCGCATATAGCGTGAAAAGTCTGAGTTATGTTACAAATTTGATTTTATTATTATTTTAATATAATATATATTTGCTCTACTTTGGTATTAAGCACTGTCTACCGAAATATTGCTTATATTACTGGTGTATATGTATATATATATATATATATATATATATATATATATATATATATATATATATATATATATATATATATATATATATATATATATATATATATATATAAAATCAAATCAAAAGTTAACTTTTCCTAGTCTTTGCCTAGAAAAACCAATTGCAGCAGGTTGTGTTTGATTGTGTATTACCATTAGTAGAATCATGATGAAAATCCTAATTCCAACATGTTTGCTATGAGATCTTAAACTCTGTTATGTTTTGATTTTTTTAATGAATTTTAATTTGTTGCACTCTGTTTTAATTCTGCGAAAATTGACTTTTTAATTAACAATGCTAAGTAAAATTGTTACATTCACAAAGTTTTTAACTATAGGCTTAATATATTTTATTACAAAAATAGTCAATAAAAATTATTAAAACATTTGTAGTCACCTTTTACAGTGACTTTTTAAATGCATATTTTTATGTCTTTTTTTTTTTTTACAATTATAGTGATGTCATTGTTTATATTGCTATTTATTTATATTCCATATTTTTAGTTTTTAATATTAAATATTTTTACATTATAACTTTTATTAAAATACTGAAATTGATATGTTTCAGAATGTACGCAAGCAACAACTTACATGCCGAACTAAAGACATGATTCCATTTCCTTCGACAATCAAAATTAAAGTGCACAACCCAGACTTCCATAATCTTTACTTAGAAAAAGCACAAATCTCCAGGTAGCCAATATTTCAAATCAATTTATTCTATATAATTTTGCAGTTTTTAATTAGTTTTGCAATTTTGTCTTCAATTTGATTAGAAGTTATAAAAGTTTATAGTTGTGAAGTTGTCCTAGAAAAAAAAAAATCAAAAAAAGTTGTCAAATTAACAATTATTACATATCACATTTGTGTGTGTGTGTGTGTGTCTATATATATATATATATATATATATATATATATATATATATATATATATATATATATATATATATATATATATATATATATACTCTTGCATGTGTGTGTCTATATATATATATATATATATATATATATATATATATATATATATATATATATATATATATATATATATATATATATATATATATATATATATATATATATATATACTCTTGCATGGTAGTTAAAAAGAGTTTCCCATAAACTGTAGTTTTAAAGAGCGCGTTAATAAACCAGACCAGAAAAAGTTTAAAAAGTTAAATTTTTTTTTTTTTAAATGATAGACTGCCTGCCCAAACCAAACCCTCAGTCGATGTAGCAGCACTCCCTTGGGAGTCAGGCTATTTGTCAGTCGTTGTAGCAGCACTCCCTTGCGAGTCAGGCTATTTGTCAGTCGATGTAGCAGCACTCCGTTGCGAGTCAGACTATTTGTCAGTCGATGTAGCAGCACTCCGTTGCGAGTCAGGCTATTTGTCAGTCGATGTAGCAGCACTCTGTTGCGAGTCAGGCTATAAGATAGTTGATGTAGCAACATTTACGCATGTTTTAAAAATGTTTTTTAACAAAACAAAAACAAAAACACCACTAATAAAAAAAAACTTTCTAGTCTTTATAATTGCGTTTTTTTAAAAAAACTTTAAAAAACAATAAAATTTAATGTACTTTTGCATTAATTTATTTGCTTTGACATTTCCACGACAATTAAATACAGCTTAAGAGATGAGGTAATTAAAATTGTAGTCGAAAGAGACTTTTTTTACATTAAAACTCTCTTTCGACTACACTATAAGGATATATATATATATATATATATATATATATATATATATATATATATATATATATATATATATATATATATATATATATATATATATATATATATATATATATATATATATATATATATATATATTAGGGCTGTTCAGTATGCTAATTTGTTTTCAGAACATAGCTAATTGAAGTTTTTCCCATTCAACTATCATATTGTGGTGCAAAAATATTTTTTACTAACTTTTATTATTTGCCCTAAAGGTCCCTCAAAGCCCCTAAACATTTGACAGGTCCCTAATATTATTGAAAAAAAATTATTGAAAAATATGTCAACTTGGTACTCAAAAGAAGCAAAATCATTTAAAAATTTCAAAAACAAAAAGTATTTTTTATAAAAAAAACAATATTAGGTTTTTTTGAATAAAACTATGGTTTTTAAACGAAAAATGAAAAAAAGGTAATATTCACAACATTTTTAATAATAAGTTTTTTTAATTTGTTTTTTATAAAAAATGAATCTAATTTTTAAAATTTTTATAAAATTTTGCTTCTTTTGAGTACCAAGTTGACATATTTTTAAATAATTTGTTTTTTAATAACATTAGGGACCTGTCAAATGTTTAGTGGCTTTGAGGGACCTTTTTTATATTTATATTTATATTTATATATATATATATATATATATATATATATATATATATATATATATATATATATATATATATATATATATATATATATATATATATATATAATATATATATATATATATATATATATATATATATAATATATATTCTTGTGGAATAGCCCGTCATTTCTGCCGAAGCCTGCATATATATATATATATATATATATATATATATATATATATATATATATATATATATATATATATATATATATATATATATATATTATATATATATATTATATATATATTTATATGCAGGCTTCGGCAGGAATGACGGGCTATTCCACTCTAAGTATTTAACATTTAGTTGCGACAGCTTAACCATTTTTAAAGTTAGTTAATGACTTAACTCAAAAGAGATATTTACATTAATAAAAGTTTAATTATGCCAGTTGCGTATTTTATAATACCTCATTGTAACTAAATTTTAAACCGCATTAAAAATTGTTGTAAGTCTTTATCATTATGAAATATCTTTTATAAAAAAAAATTGTTATAAAAAAAATCATAAATAAAATGAAAAAAAATTTTTTTTGATAAGTTGTTTAAAAAAAAAATTTCCTTATTTTAAAATCTTATACTTGTTAAAACTTTATTTTTTTTTTCTCTTTAAAACATTCATTTTATAGTTATTTTTAAAATGGATTTAAATGTACTTACAGAGTTTTTTAAATGGTTTACTCAACTACACGTTAGTATAATTAGATTAGGTTTTCACCTTTATAAAAAAATTTTCAAGCCACCAAAAACATTTTAGTTCAACTGGTTTTTGACAAAATAAAAATCAAAGGAAGATTACCGCTTTTCTGTTTTTTTAAATTTTTATTCTGCTTTTTTTTTTATTTCCATTAAAGTATTTTGTTTTTATTTACCGGGAAACCAAATATATTTTCACTAATTGTTTTTAGCAAATATTAACATAATTTTGAAATTTACATATCTTATATTTATAGCACTAGTATTAGTTTTGTTTTTAAAATAAAATAAATATAAGTTAGGCTTTTATAGCGTTTACTTATTGATAGTGTATTTTTGTTTGGTTATAAAAGTTTGGTTCGTTTAAAAAAAAAAAGGAAATTCTTCTACCTTAAATTTACCAGAAAGTGAAAACATTTATAACTAGAGTTTAAAATAACTTTTTTGTATTGACGTCATTTAGTAACTACAAAAGCGCATTAATAAGTCCAGTATTTTTTTTAAATCGCAGAGCCATAACTTACCTTCGAGAAGAAAAAAAAGGCTTAAAAAATTATGTTTTTCTCTTAATATAATAAATGAAAAACAAATTAAAAAAAAAAAAAGGAAAATAGAAAAAAGTTAATTTATCTATCTGTTTTTTTATCTAATGGAAAAAACATTCCACAAATTTTTTTACAACAATTTAATACAGGTTTAATGTTTAGGCTTAATGTTTTTCACATAAACTTTCTTAATCAACTTTTGCATTAACTTTCTTAATTAACTTTTGCTTAAATTTCTTAATTAACTTTTGCATAAATTTTGCATAGAACAGGCTTAATGTTTTTTGCATAAACATAAACTTAAATAAACTTATTGAAAAATGTTTTTGCGTAACGTAAATTGCGCAATGCGTACGTATATATATATATATATATATATACATACATATATATATATATACATATATATATATATACATATATATATGTATACATATATATATATATATATATATATATATATATATATATATATATATATATATATATATATATATATATATATATATATATATATATATATATATATATATATGTATCAGGCTTGGTCGGGAAGCGGGTGCGATCACACTCAATAAATGACCACAGAAATAATATTTAGTGGCGAAAAACCGGCCAGATTTTTTAGTCGTTTTGAGAACATTTTAAAAACAAACAAAATAGCGCAATAAGATTAACTGGACCAATGAGAGACGATGGGTTAGAAAAAGAAAAATAGCTTTTAACGCGAAAAAAAATTAAAGCAAAATTAACTATTTTAAGATTCGCTTAGTTTGAAAAGTTTAACACATTTGAAACAATTTTTCTTAGTAAGATGAACAAATGAAATAATTAAATCATTGAGTTACTGTAGAAATTCAATTAGCTATATAGAAATTAACTAAAAACGTTAAATTACTTTGTGAGGAGGAAGCGGAACTACTTCACAATACCACAGATGTTGTTTAGTGAGTGGGCTTTATAATTTTAATTAGTATTTAAGACAGATAAAAGTAACTTTAAGGTTAAGTATAACGAATTTGTAAGAATGCCTGAAGCAAAAATAATTGAAGTTAGTAAACCAATTTTTAAGAACTTTAAAATTTTTCTTTCTTAGGGGAAAGAATCAGTTATCAGGTACACTGAGGAAAATGAATAAGTGGTTAAAATTATTTGCATTAACTTTGATGATTTTTAATAATTTCATTGAAAACATAGTAATTATTAAAAGTATTTTTGTTTACAAAATCAATCGCACATATTTCTTTAAAAGATTACATTTGAATAAAATACACATACATAAAATTACATACATAAAAATACATTACATACATAAAAATAGTATATTCTTAAAACAATTTATGCTAGAAATCTCAACGAAAACATAACAAAACTCAAAAAATACAATTTTTTAAAATATTTCAACAGAATACTCTAAAACATTTGGTTAGTATTTTTTGAATATTCTAGAAATTTTGGTTAGTATTTTTTGAACCAATTGAATTAGTTGTTCGTAGATTACTAAGATTAGTAATCCACCACACTAAGATGTTTGAGAACATTCAAGTTTATGTATGTTTCCATGTATGTCCGTGAAACAAAATATTTTAATGTTTACGATAAAATAATGAACTTAATCATTACTTTGCAAACAAGGAAACATACATAAACTTGAATGTTCTCAAAACGACTAAAAATTCTGGCCGGTTTTTTGCAACTAAATATTATTTCTGTGGTCAGTTATCAAGTGTGATCGCATCCGCATTGCGATCATGCCTGATATATTTAAATATTTTAAATAAAATATTTTATGGTTTAATATCTATTTGTTAAAAATATATTTATTTTTACGATATTTCGATGAAAATATCTTTTTTTATTAATATATTTTTAACAAATAGATATTAAATCATAAAAAAGAAATTTTATTTGAAATATTTATACAAATAAAATCTATTGAAGATATCAACATTTAAATATATATATATATATATATATATATATATATATATATATATATATATATATATATATATATATATATATATATATATATATATATATATATATATATATATATATAT